GCTACACAGTAGATACTACGCGTAACAACAACAAAAGTGTCTTATCATATCAATCATCAAGTTTTTGTACTCTGTCATTATGAAGTTACTGCACTTCAATTACATGAGCAAGTCTGCGGTTGCCAGTTACGAGGCTGCCGATGTAGTGGCGATGCCGGATTTAGCATACACTGCTGAATAGACAAAGTAAGTACCTATTAGGTGGGCTTCCAATACAGATAGACGGCTATAAGGAAACGACACTACACTCTCACGTGAAACCAAAACGTTTCAAACCGACTATGAACGAGTGGCAACAAAGTTCGGTGCAGGCGGACGGCATTGTGAAGTCTCGCAAGTGCAAATATTTTTGTATAGTGTGTTATAGTGTAAGTTTGATAATATAATATAAGAACTTAAGTATGTTAATTCCCGGTAGAGCATTTCAAAAATTCAGATTTGCCATCGATACTCAACTGAGACGACTTTTATTTAGCAGTCTTCGGCAGCAATGCATACCTAATTGGGCCTTGTGGGTACTAGAATTGCCACTTATGATACATTACAATGACTGATCAGTGCCGGCACCTCTCGTAACATGATTACTACACTTGTTTAATCAAGTGATTACGACCGTTCAAGCAAACTTACTGTGCGAATTATAGATGCCAAATCGATATTAAATGTTAAACGCCAAGAAAGTAGCCTTAGAGTTTATAAGCAAGCTATAGAGTGAGTCTAAAAAGTTAGAACAGGTTGCAGTAGTAAGAACACAACCTCTTTCTTCATAAGTAGAAAAACGCCAGTGACAACATTATTGAACCTCTATCATTTCTAATACATTAGACGAAGATAACTATGCAGCAATTGCTAACATTTGACGCAGTACGGCGCAAAGCGATACGCGCACTCTACACTCTACAGCTTGCTTATAATATCCTCTAAGGTAAAAGCAATCGCGGAAAACGCTGCCGATATGAACCACTAGGTCTCTTGAATAACTCAGTTAATCAGTTTTAATGTTTCTTGCTCAACGATTAAATTAAGTGCCATTAGGTAATCGAATAATAAGACGGATATAAAAACCAACATTTTATTAATATCACAATTTCACTGGGACTCAATCAACGATCTTAAGTTTAAATTACTTATTAATGAGAATCAAGCGTGGAAATATAAAACACACATTTAGGTACTTCGTTTCGTTACTCATTTGGGCTGCAGAACCCCAAAATAATCAGTCGACCGACATGTTACACTCTCAAGAATTTCTATCACATCTAATAGATTTGTTTCGAAATGATTTCCACCTCGTCACAGATAACGCAACTTACGTTACAATTTCGTTATATTCCTATCTAAATCAGGTACATTACGCTCTTTTTAGGGCTCACCAACTACATATTCAGTCGAAAGTAAGCGATCTAGCATTGCTAAAATCTAAATATATAAAACTAATATCGACAGGCAAGAGTAGACCTAAGATACAAGACACGGCGGAACAGACTCCGCTCGAGTTATGCCCATGGACTGATTTAAATGCAGTCAGTTTAGTAGCCTTCGAATTTGTAGCCTTCTCCGCTGCTGGCGAGAGCATGGCCTTCTAGGCCGCCGCCGTAGCCTTCATGTGCCTCAGCATAGCCCTTCAGACCTTCGCCGCCTTCAAACCCGCCTAGGTGTTCGTAGCCGCCGCTCTCAAGACCCTGATGGTGCTCGAACCCTTGGTGCTCGAATCCTCCGTGTTCAAGACCGTGTCCATGCTCGAGTTGCGCCGCGAAATGCTCAGTATCAAACCTGTGGTCTTCCAGCACGAGACCGCCGCCGTGGTGGTGCTCCGTCTCAGGGTGGATCTGCTTCAGGTTGTGCTCGGACTTGCCCTTCTCCAGCGGGTGATGCAGCAGATGGCTGTGCTCCTTCTTCACGTATACCGGCACGGGGTGGAAATGCTCAAACTTGATCGACTGGTGGGACTTAGCGTGTTCGTGCTCTACATGATGGTGGTGCGATGATTCTCCGATTAAAGCCTGGTGGTCATATTTCTCTTCTAGTTGGGGTGCCTCTTCGTGGATTACTCCGGGAAAGGCGGCCACCACTGCCAGGAGTCCCAGGAAAATCTGAAAGCACGATCGAATTAGTACGTGGAACTATCAATTTGCCAATTAGTGTGCTGAAACGCTATCTGCGATCGGCGCGGAGGCTATCTCGAAACCAGTTTCTGTAACCACCAGGAACACAACACAGTGTTATGTAACGAGAAAGCCTTCCTACACAGTAATAACAGTATTTGTTAACTTGGTCGACCGTAAAAAATAAATTAGCATCATTGTTTGTAAGATTAAATCTGGTTTTTGTAAATTAGATCACTGATTAGTAGAGCAATTTAAAAATCAACATTTTGGAAAGTTTCGTATGGTTTTGAATGAACAAATCTTATGTAAACACAAAATTTCCATGTGACACTATCACGTAACGGTTTCGGTTGAATATTTTAGAGAGCACAGTTGACAGTTTTTAATTAGGGGCACTGGCACAATCCGCACTTAGACTGAGTATTGGTTCGTGTATTGATACGGATACGCACAAGGTATTTCATTGCTGTCGGCTTGGTCGTACTGCACTGTTCGCGAGGGTGGTGGGTAATGCCAGCTCTTGAAATTTGCATCGCTTTTATACCCGGTTTCACTTAGGCCAAGTGTGAGTGCTCTGCTTGCATTACGTGCGCCGCACATTGTCAGCCAAGCCGCGAACTCTGAACAATGGATAGAAATTCTTTGGGAGATGTGCGGAAAAAGTTCGACGGTTCGATACAAGATGTCTATTAACATATTCCGCTGTCATTATTGCGTACATCTCCTATGTAGAGACTCGTAATTGTTTTGTAATCGATCATTAGGTATGCGTGGTCCGTTCGCATCAAATGGTAATTTTGATTTGCATATCGCATAACAAAAAGTCGTTTTGTATAATTTGATGCATCGCATTATAAATGCGTTCTCTTAATCTTACTGTAGGCAATAAAATTAGTCGTTAATGATGTTTAATTTACGAGGGCTGTAATATATTAGTTGGGCCTAGATCTAGACTCTTGCTAATGTCTCGATCGCAATCCTTATGGAGATTGCGTGGTTGATTAGACTATTAGCCTGCAGCTTGTTTTATGCAAACTCCTTACGATCCAGCACTAACATTAAGAGGATTTCCTAAGTGTCGCAACGCATCTGAGCGTAGGTAAACATAGGTCAGTAACAAGACGACAAAAAATACTTATTAAACGGGGTTCTTACGGTAGAAAATAGCTGAAAAACTCTGACACCAGTATGGTTAGCATTTACACTGTACAGACTTTTTTCGCGCGCGAGAAGACAAAGATGTCTCAAATCGTGATGAATTTTTGAAAACAAGTGAAGACTTTTAACATAAGGGTGTAGAGTAGAGAAAATCTATGTCACGGGTCGCATTAGCTAAACAGAGTTCGTCGGGTTGTTAGATGACTCTTTGTTCCATTTTTTTCTTTTTATTTTTCCTAGTTGATTATTCCAGTCCAGTTGTATGGACCATGATCACGGAACCACGCATCATATCAGATAAATCAATGTACGACGGTAAGAACCCCGTTTGAATACATTTTTTAAACGCATAAGTGTAGGTTTTCGAATTAATTGAATGCATATGACAGCAAGGCTTATACAGCCATGAAAAATCTTGCCTCAGACACTGAATAAATCGTCTGAAATAGACGTATGATGCCAACGATGACAGCAAAAATTGGGAAAGTTGTCATATCCCATACAATCCGAAATTCCGCGACATAGGGTAAGTAACAGAACTTTGATATAGGTACGATGTGTCAATTTTCTTAGTATTTGTACGTTTGAATGCCGCACACTTCCGGATTACTTATTTGAATAATATATCTACATATAGCAAAAATTTTACAGTCTGAACAGCCGTGACATAGGGTATGTTGCAGAACTTTGATGTACCTAGTTACGATGTGTCAATTTTCCGAGTAGGTACCCTATCTACCTATTTGTACGTTTTCATGTAAGTTTCTACTTACTCAATCAAAGTTGTCGTGTGAAGCCGACTTGGAATAGTTCACCCCAAGTCTACCCGTAGGTGTCGTAAAAGTGACTAAGAGATATTCAACCAGGGAATGGGCAGCAGCGTTCCCTTTAAATGCAACGTCTTTCACTGCGCTCGCCAATCCGCCTGCCAAGCGTAGTGAGTATGGCGATACCCACCGATAAGGGAGGCCCATGTGTACCTATGTCCAGTTGATTGTTTTGGCTGTTCTGGTGGTTATATGGCAAATCAAATTCCTAAACTATGAAACATAACTTGTTACATAAAAATCCCAAAAACATCGTCTGACACAAGTCTATTCTTATTCTTACGATTTACGTCTATCATCAACGCACATAAAAATGCAAAGAAAGTTCGTTTTAGTGATACAACAACCGTAACGTTATGGTTTTTAACGGATTAATTGCCAAACATCATCCCATGCGTAAAAATCGGCCAAGTGCGAAAACTACAAAACATCCACGTTCTTTTGTATGGGAAAGTTAAGTACCTACTTAAGTTGTTTTATAAAATCTAATATTTAGTATTTGTTGTAATAGCGGTAACAGAAAAATGGCACCTGTGAAAATTTAAACTCTCTGGTTTATGAGATCAGCCTGGTGACAGACGGACAGACATGCGAACTCTCAGTAATAAAGTTCCGTTTTCACCCTTTGGGTACGGCGTCCTAATAAGGACGCAGAAAACAAGAGTATGAATATATCGGAATTTTTAATGCACTCACAGCGCAATATTATTCTCATAAATTGAAAATGAGAAAATTGAAAAATTCACCAGGGACCACCGGGACTTGAACCCGGGACTGTGGATTGCCGTTCCACCGCTCTACCAACTGAGCTACGGGCGCCTAGCGGACCCTGTTGAATCTTTCAACCTCTTGATGCTCGTCTTGAAGCGACGATCCAGCGACATCTGCAGAAAGTATTTAGAACTTTACTACCCGTAGCTCAGTTGGTAGAGCGGTGGAACGGCAATCCACAGTCCCGGGTTCAAGTCCCGGCGGTCGCTGGTGAATTTTTTAACTTTCTCATTTTCAATTTATAAGAGTATGAATCATCATCAAAAGCCATAGTTATTTATCTACTAGTGGACATGGGACTCTACCTACCTAATTATTATTACCTTTACTGTCGGTATAGTTTGTGAAATTTAGGTGCATATAACCTGAATCTCTTTAAGTCTAGAGTGAATAGGCATCTTCTGGGCAAGCTCGCTCCACCGTAGATCCCATCTCTGCTCTAGGGTAAGATTGGGGTCAAGAGTAAGCCCATCATAGATAAAAAAAAAAAAAAAAAAAAAAAGGTTGGTAGAGTAAGGTTGTGCAGATTTAAAAACTTAGCTCTATTTGAGATCTGATATCTTTTTCACAAAGTACGCCATAAACTCTCGTCTTGGCAATAAATTTTACATGAAAATGTTTTTGGTACGTTTACATTACATGTTTATTAATAAGTATGTAGGTACGTCGTAATTGATTGCCGGGAAAGCCTCCCCGCTAATAATTTTATTCACTCTCCTGTACCTTAAGGTTGCCTGGAAGAAATTACTCCTGATTGCAATAAGGCCGTCTTTTTTCAGTACACTGTTAAAATTTTACGCAAATTCATAAACAAGCAATTTCAATGACAAATAAAAATGTTACGATCCCATCGGGCTGAACAACTTCTTTGTAACGAAATCTTATTGTTTATTTTTAAGAGAATGAGGTGAGGTCTTTAGTGTAATAAGTAGCATTTTATTGTTCAGACTTTAATTATAAGTAAGTATGTAGGTAGGTAACCTGAGTACTTATAAAAAGTAAGCTAACTTTAGGCGAGAAACATAGTACAAACATGGTTTGTGTGAAACAGTTTGTTTGACGGACGCATCCAAGGACGCAGATGACGCAGTTGATCCGGTGTCAGAGTTTTTCAAACGCCTACTAAGTACTGCTAGTAGGCCTCTGACATGGCTGAGAAACGACCGCCATCTAAGTATTCACAGACAGCAAGAACCGATGGCTTAACGTGCCCTCCGAAGCACTGATCCATCTTGCTTAGCATGATCGTCTAAAAGAAACAGTACAAATACTAAACGGTAAAGTAGAATCGAGAATGATACTTGTGTACTTAAATTAAATTAATCCTATAAAAGTGCTATAACAATAATTGTAATTATTACGAAATTATGTATTTCGTTAATTGCAATTTCTGCGGAATTGTATTTTCATTTCATACAATCTTTTTGCCGTTGACCTTCGATTATCTGCCTACCCCACGAAAATAAAGACGCCCGTGATGTACCGGTGTGAGTTTGGTATCGCGAGCGAAAGTCTCTTTTCACGCCTAGATATTTCTTACGGGGTAGGCAGAGCGTAAACGGCTGAAACAACGGCCATTTAAATAACGTAGGACGAAATCGCCAGAAAATCCACCTACTCATTAGATGGATCAACTTATACTGGCTTATCTTTGTATTTGTATAAAAACCATTATAAGTTGGTTACTAAAACGGATAAGTGGATTAGCTGACGACAGTACCATATTTCATCGAATTATCCGGCCCCGAGAATTGCCAACCTCGAGGATAAAATCACGCCTCTTTCCCGGAGGGGTAGGCAAAGACTATCATTCCACTTGCTACGATCCTGACACACCTCATTTGAAAAATAGAAAATAAAAGGTAAATTACTTAGTTGCTTAGGTGGCAATCACACATAACGTCCGTTGCTGCGTTATTTTAGCGCTGCGTAACGCATGCGTTAAGACAATACGACTAATTCCCATACAAATACGATTTATGTGAAACGATTTGAGATCCGATAGCACTGCGTATCGTAAGTACAACGCTGCGTCGACGGTGCGTTGCACAGCACTAAAGTGTGGTTCCTGACTTAGATAAAGGTAGGCTAAAGCTATAAAGTTCTTCAGGTGTTTTTTGTTCGCTGGATTTATGCTACATGCGGTCATGCATTCGTTTATCAGTTTATCAGCCTTTTTACTTACAAGAAAAAGGTTACTTAATGAAGCAAAAAAACCGCTAGTAAGTACAAATTACTTGGCAGTTAATTGTAAACAACTTAATAACACTACACACCTATCTAGTCAATCTAATTGTTGATGAATTAATTTATAGATAATAGGGATGTGTTATTCGGCCCCATTTCTAGTCACAGAATAGTGACTAGTTTATTTGTTCGACTAGTGACTAGTCTATTTTTTCGACAAGTCGCTAGCTAGTCGAATAAATAGTCGATTAGTCGGCCATCGTTACGACATTTCAGTTTTTATAATTTTAACATACGTAGGTACATAGATTAGTTTAGATATCCCTTGGGCTTAGCTTGGGATTAGGCCGTTTATACGGCTTTAAAAACGGCCACCACGTCAGACAAAAAAATTAGAGAAAACTGTGTGTCACCGTAGTGGCAAGTTGTCGGCCTGTCGCCCTTAATTGTAATAAACACCAACTCTCAAATTCCCGAGTTGCTTTTTACTACACCCACGGGAAAGATATGGGTTGATGACATTCTAAGTCGCCACCACACGGCACTACTACTCGGCCGATTTTAAGTCGATTGGTCGGAAGTCGGCCAAAACTATAATCAATGCATCTCTACTAGCATTCTATAACATTCAATTTAGTCTCAAAACTTTCTCTACGTTTAGATCATTTAGATTCAGCATTTGTCTACATGCAGATTCGTTTAAGATAGGCTCGAGTGAAGGGGAGTCGATAGAAACAATAATATCAATCAGTGGGTTGCTCGCAGCACGACTGGACTTAAAATAACATGTTCAGTTCAGTTCACTTAAGACTAAGTGTGTAGACATTGTACGACCGAAATTCGGCGGCTGAATTCCGTTCCGTCAGTATTCGGCGTTTTCGGTTGGGAGGCCACACTATAGGCGCCGAAATTACTTCTAAATCACGCCGAATCACTCCGGACCGAAATTCGATGCATAATTTCGGCGGCAAAATTTCGGCTGAAGTGTGTCATCCGTGATGCAAATAGCATTGCTGGCGTAATTCCGTCGCGTCATATCGGTCGTAGTGTGTCTAGACACTTAGAACGCTGCTTATTGTACCGTCATTCGAAAAGGCCATATTTGACAGCTGTCAAAATCATGTTAATGCCAAGACATAGAGGTAAGTTCTAGAGTCTGGCCAGCGAGTCTTTGGACACGGAAATGGCGCCAATTTTAAAAATCTTTCACATGTTAACACTGAAAAACTACAATAAAACAATTTTGATACTTACTATTTTTTTGTTTTCTGCTCTTTAGTTGGTGTTTGCCTTGCCTACCGGTATGTATGTATGATGTATCTACCGGGAGTAACAAAAAGGGTATAACAAGCCGAAAGGAGGTCAAGGTACTCATGAAACTGAACAACTTTCCCCATGAAACATGGGTCGAAATATGAAAAAAATATTTGGACCTCCCATACAAAATCGCATATCAGCTGATTGATTTACTCTGAGAAGTCAAATTTTTTTCATATTTCGTCCCATGTTCCATGGGGAAAGTTGTTCAGTTTCATGAGTACCTTGACCTCCTTTCGCCTTGTTATATATACCCTCTCCGTTACTCCCTGTATATATCGCAGGATAACAGTGCAATCCGGTTGATCTCGAATTTCCTAGGCCCATCGCGAAGAGCCGGACAATTGCGAAATACATCGATTTATTCACCATTGGCCTAAAAATCTTGGCAAATAACAAATTCGTCAACTTCAAGGACAAAAATATAGGTCACTGACGTAAACGCGACACGCGCGTAGATGCCAACGCGTACGCACCTACTACGACTTTTCGGAGCTTTAAGTCCCTCTGCGCGCATGAAAATATAAATGCGGAAAGAAGTGAGCGTGCGTATGGAAATGAGCATGCGCATAGAAATGAGCATGCATACTGATATGAGCATGTGCACTGCATGGAAATGAACTGAAAAATATAATATGCATATTTCCATGCGCATGCTCCTTTCAGTGCGCATGCTGTCTGTGTTGTAGTCTGGTATGTATTCACGCTCGCAGGTGCTCCTGTGTACGTGTTTCAGTGGCGTAGAGCGACCTAAGGCACCGAAAAGTCGTAGCAGGTGCGTAGGCATCTACGAGCGTGTCACCTTATACGTCATTGACCTAGATTTTTGACCATAAGGTGGACGAATTAGTTATTGACCAAGGTTTTCAGGCCAATAGTGAATAAATCGATGTATTTCCTAATTGTCTTCGCGATAGGCCTAGGAAATACTTGATCGACCGGATTTCGCTGTTTTCCTGCGACAAATCATGGGAACTGTCTCCATAAATAAACAGAAGTTATGTTTTTGGAACTCTGACACCAGAATTTACCTTGCAGTTCATACGTTAATAATATGTGAATAATACAATAGTGTTAACGATACTAAACAAAAAAATTACAAGTACATTTTTACAATAAAGAAAAGTCCAAATATAAAATAGAAAGGAAAAGATATATTAAAATGTCATATCTTCTCCAAATTTTTATTATTATTATGTTTAAACAGGCAGTTGTAGCAACTGATTATGCCTGTATCTCGCTGTCCTCTTGTTTGGATTTCTCAGTTGAGTTTAATTTGTCCAATCTGTTTTTAAACTGGTTTGTGTTTTTTGCAGACACCACATGCTCTGGTAGCCTGTTCCATGCCTCCACCACCCTATTGCTCAGAAAGTGCTTGAAACCGTAGGCTGGCGGGAGCGTTTCTTTCCGGGCGTTATCCATTTGCCTTGGTTTAAAGATCCCTCTTTTTTAATGTTACTTAATGTGTTGACATTTACTTCTGTAATAAAAAAAATATTGGTTAGAGTAGGTATAGATAGAATATAAATTTTTTATTAACCTACATAAATAGAAAAAAGATTGAATTGAAATACAACCTGTTAGAGTAGATATGTGGGCCAAATAACTTGATACAGATGTAATCAATCCATTTATTTCAACCTTTTTGAGCTGTTCCACCAGGTCTTCAACTTTATTTTACAGAAATTCTTCATCTGAAAGCCCT